GGGCATGTGTGTGTATGTGTGTGTGTGTGGGGGGGGGTAGCCAGGACGTGGAACGGTCGTCCCTCCTGGAGCACTGGCTCTGGAGCCTCCCAGCTCTATCATATGCTGACTGTGCAACCTTCACTAAGTCACTGGCCTTCTCTGAGCCTTCATTTCCTCAGCATCTGAAGGGAATAATAACTAGTGGTTGCTCGGGCCTGTGGGGAGGGGTGGATGGAGAGTGACAGCTGATGAGTTTGGGGTTTCTTTCAGGGGGATGAAAATGCTCTAAAATTAGATAGTGGTGATGGATGCCCAACCTCATGAATATACTAAAAACCACTGAATTGTACATTTTAAAAGGGTGAATTTTATGGTATGTGAATTATATTTCAATAAAGCCCTTATAAAAAAGTGGGGAGAAAAGGCAGGAGTCACAACAGCACTGTCTGCTTGGGAGTTGTGGGCACACAGCACACAGCAATTGCCAGTAGAGGATGGTGTTGGTGAGTGTATACTGCTGGTGCTTACAAACGTCCCCCTAGGTCGCTGCTGCCAGGGCCTGCAGGCTGTCAAGCCACTGAGCTGCCCCCCGGGTGCCTGGTGGGGGCTCCCCGGCAGCTGCTCCCTGGCAGGGGCGGGAGAGTTCATGGCTCTCCTCCTGCCTCTCGCTGGGTCCCTGGAGAGGAGGCTACCCACCAAGGCAGGCGGACTCCCGGGCTGCGCACTCGCCCGTCTGGCAGACACTCGTATTCTCCATGTGCAGCAGACCGTGAATTCACCTTCATACTAGTTACAGGGTTATTTAGCTTCTCCTGACACTGACAATCACAAACTTTAATTCGAAGCCTGGCTTCTCCCTGCTGTGCCCTCTGCCTACCCCCGAAATCCTTGGGAGAGGATGGGAAGGACCGAGGTCCAGCTCTCTCTTGCCAAAGCTTGCCCTTCAGAGTGATGGAGTGATGGGAGGAGGCAGGGATGGTCGGAAGGAGAAGATAATGGGCAAAGGGCCGGGAGAGAACAGTGTGGGAGAGAGGAAGTACCACCAGGGCTAATGGGAGCTTCCGCCTGCTCCTCCAGCCTGACACTAATGTATTCAACCTGACATCCCATCCTGTCCTGAGTGACGACTCGGCTGACCAGGCTGCTGGACAGAGGGTCTGGCCAGGATGGATGGGGTTGGGACTCGGGCATGGGGCAGGCTGCTCTGTTACTGCTGGACTAGCAGGTGCCATCCAGGAGCCCAGCTGAGGGAGCCAAGTCAGGCCAGGTGGGACTGCTCCACACAGGGCTCTGCTGGCGCACTGCCTGCTGCTGCACCATCCCTCTTCCTCTGATGAAGGCAGATGGATCTGCTCAAAGCTACTGCTAAACATCTGGTGGGACATCGAGACCCTGAGATGTCTCACTGACTACCCAGTCGCACAGCATGACACTGGTGCTGGAGACAGAGCTGCTGAGGCACGTGTTAGGTCCTCGCTGCTGGGAAAAGCTGCTGCCGCCTGGCTCAGGGGCGGCCAGCCCTGAAGTGCTCCTCTCTCTTCCCTCGGCTCCGACGGATCCCCTCCTTCTGTCTTCCCTGTGCCCCTACACCCTTTGCAGCAGTGGTCCAGCTGCCAGAAGCCCACAGAGGCCTGCCATTGACTCAGGGTCCTGTCAAGGCCAAAGATCTCATCTCTCAGCCACCCCCTGCCTCCTGCAGTCATCCCTATCATTCTTCTCCAAAGCCTCCCAGGCAAGTGACAGAGGGACAGTTTGCTCTGGGGAACAGGGAACCCTCGCCTTCACCAACTCCACGCTGGCCCCACCAGCCACTCAGCAGGCAGAGAGTCCCAGGAGCAGAAAGCCAAGCCAAGGGGACTCTTAAAGACCAGAGGCCTGTCAAGGACCCAGGCCAAGGAGCTTGGAAAAAGAGAAGCAAGGCTGGGGCAAAGGAGAGGCAGGGAAACGCACTGGTGGGTCCCAGGGTGTGTTCACTTCCTCCAGGCCCCATTCCACTGCCCCACCCCTGCCAGCCAGGGAAGTGGCCAGGGTGGCCTGGGCAAGAGAGATGTCAACGGGGCCGATGGGAGAAGGGGCTTGTTGACTGCAAACTGTCCATTATGGCTCAGATTATAAGCATATTGCACAGGGCTTCTCTGCACGATGCCGGGGAAATCCAATACGCTGAAAGGTTAATGCAATCAATTAGGGTGACAAGGAAGTAAAGTAAAGCCTTCCGAGTAGATGAAAAGGAGAGAGCGGAGAGGAGAGGAGAGGGAGCCGGAGTCGCGGGGGGTGGCGGCAAGGCAGGGAGGGAGAAAAACTCCCGGGGTACAGAGAAGGACTGGAGGAGAGGAGAGAGGCACCCAAGGCCGGTGCCCACACAGAGGCCAGGAAAAGAGGCTGCGGAGAACCAGCAGGAGAGGGTGGCCAGTGCGCACCTCAGCTCCAGCCCCAGAAGCTGGACATGTAAAACTTCATTCTTCCCCGTTCCGCCAGCCTCTCCTCTAGGGATTGGAGCCTGGCCCCCAGGTTAGCCCACTGTCATGGTGCTGGACCAGGACAGCCTTGGCCGTGACCCTGGACAGAACAACTAACTGCCCACCAAATAAGTTCCAGGGACTTCTCAGCTAGCACAATGGCCTGACCCCCATGGGACCAAGCTCAGACCCAGACTCTTTCTTGGCCTGTTTCCCTGCTGGCAATACCTACCACAGCCTTCAGGGCTAGTCCCCAAACACCCGGTTCTTCTTAGCCACAGTCCGAAGAGCAGAGCATGGTGGTCAGGACTCTGTTTTACAGACTGAGATGCTGGCACTCAGAGAGGTCATCTACAAGGCCATCTGCAGTACACTGCCCAGGGGGTGTTTCTCTTCCACAGGTTCATTGGAATCAGAAGCCATGCCTTCTCAAGGGATCAAACTCAGAGGTGCCCAGAGCAGGGGCAGCTCCGTGGAACTTGCCCAGAGGCCTGTCAAGGACCCAGGCCAAGGAGCCCACTGTGGGCCCACTTTGGAGACACAGACTCTGGGAGGGAGGAGGAACCATGTACTTCTGCTACCTATTGGGTCCTGGGCTGGCGGCTTTTAGCCATAACTCACTCACTTGTCCCAACAACCCTGCAAAGTAGATGCTCTTCTCACCATGCAGAAGAGGAAACTGGGTCTGAGGTTAAACAGCCTGCTAAAGGCTACTTGGGTACTGGAAGTCGGAGCTGAGAGGGAGCTCAGATGAGGAGAGAAGGGCTGGGACTTATAGGCAGGAAGACTGAGCAGAGGGTGAAGCCCTCAGGAGAGAAGAGATGGGGGCTCCCCAAGAGACCAGGACAGCAAACAGCTTGCAACCCCCAGCACAGGGCTCCCAGACAAACGCCCACGCCCCTCAGAGCAATCTCACTGAGCTCATGATGACGGCACACAGCACTGTGAATGCATGTACTGCCAGGAAATGATACACTTAACATCGTCACGACGGCAGATTTCACGTTACATATATTTTACCAGGGAGAGAGACACACACAGAGAGACAGAGAGCAGCAGCCAGAACCTCCAGGGCTGAGGCCAGAATCTTTTCTGTCAAGGGCTAGATATGAAATATTTTGTGCTTTGTAGGCCAAACAGTTTGTTGTAACCACTCAACTCTGCCCCTCTGGAGTGAAAGTAGACGTAGGCAGTATGCAAATGAATGGGCATGGCTGTTTCCAATAAAACTTTATTTATAAAAACAGACTGTGGGCCAAACGTGGCTCAGGGGCCAGAGTTAGCCCAGGCCTGCTTCAGAAAATGGAGGCTCATGGGACCAACTTTCAGGACTTGCATGCCTGCTCCAATGTTCAACCTGGACTTTCAAAGGAGCAGAAGTGGAGAGGAGAAGGGGAAGAACAAGTCCTAGCACAGGAAGCCAACTTCCAGCTCCCAGCATCCTGGGAAGCGATTCTCTGTGCTAGAGATTCTCAGGGATGATAGGAAGGGGTGGAGATTCTCAAAGGCCTGAGAGGAGGCTGAGGCTGAGAGAGCAGGAAGGAGCAGCCAGAAGGGGGTGAGAAGGGGTGCAGGGAGAGAAAGGCCAAAGAGGACCCAGGAGCAGGCTGTAACCAGGGTGGTGCTGGCGGCAAAGGGAGGAATCCACAGGCCCCAGCGAGAGCGCAGGGCGCGGGCCGGGCCTGCCCTACACCGGGCCGCCTCTGATCACGTTTTCAGGGCCACTGCCCGCCGGCGCAGACAATGCTGGGGTAGCCTTTGAAGTACGAAAGGGATGCCGCAGTGGGAGCCTGGGGACTCTTCTCCCTCCCCCGTCCTCCCGAGGGGAGGGGGTCAGCAGGACAAAACCCGGAGCCGGTCGCAGCCGGGCCCCCGAAATGCAAGAGACAAAGGGAAAACAAACAGGTTTGGAGCCAAGCGCACGGTGCCCTGTCTGTCCCCCGCCCCGCGGAGAGGAGATGATGGATGGCTGCAGCCAGCCAGCTCGCCCGCCAGGCAGGCCCCGCTATTTACATAACACTGGCGTTCCACCGGTCACCTCTGACACGGCACTGCCTGGGGCCCGAGGCCCGGTGGCCCTGTGGTTCCTCAAGCCACCGGGGGACTGTGACAGCCTGTGAAGTTGGGTAGACCAGGGCAGCCCCATGTGCCCAGCCCAGGGGGAGTCCTGGGCTGTGGAAAGGCAGGGTGCTGTGGTCTGCTCTCCCCTCCGTGGGAGGAAGGAGCAGGCCAATTGGGTGGCCAGCCTTGGAGGGGACAGGCAGAGGGGGAGTTCCAGGGCTTCAAGCCCACAGGGTTGTCTGGCAGGGCCACAGCAGAGCTTCCAGGGAGAGCCAGCAGTGGCGGCCAGAGCGGTGCATGGTACCACCGGCAGCCCAAGCCCGGGCCCCAGAGTCTCACTGTCCCATGCTGCCTGGAGCACAGTCCTTGCCCCTGTCCGCAATCCATGAGTCCCCCGCCCATTTCCAGCCAAAGAGCCAATCAGAGAAGCTCTGCTGGGGCTCATCTTTTCTTGCCAGGTTCCAATGGGCAGCATGGCTCCCATTTCCTGTCCCCCCCACCTTTCCCACTTCTCCTGGGTACTCAGGATGACACGTGTGTCATGCATGCGAGTGGTCACCAGCAGGAGAGAAGACACAGGATTATGGAGAAGGTGCATGCCTTACCTCCTAACGGGTCCTAGAGGTGCCTCAGATGCTGATGGGGTGTCACTTCATCCTGGGGAGGAAGAGAGAGGAGCCTGTTAGTCTTTTTTTCTTTTTCTTTTTTTTTTTTTTTTGGTTCTGGGGACTGAACCCAGGGGCACTTTGACAATGAGCCACATTCCCATCCCCCTCTCCCATGCCTTTTGTATTTTGAGACGGGGTCTCTCAAAGTTGCTTAGGGCCTTTCAAAGCTGCTGAGGCTGACCTTGAACTTGCAATCCTCCTGTCTCAGATACCCAAGACTCTGGGATTACACACCATGCCACGTTCCCCTTAGCCTTTTCAGTCAGGAACTCCACAACTCTCCAGGGCAGGCCCTTCAAGACTCTCTGTGCCCCCAGGGTTCCCTGCCACTTTGTGGGTTGAGGGGTCAATGCTCTGAGGCCAGCTGCAGGGGTCAGACATGCTGAGTAGACTCTGATTTTGACCCACTTAAGCATGTACCAACCAAAGTCTGAAAATTCAGAAAGCAGCAGGGCCGATCACCAGGGAAATACAGATCTCAGGACAGCCCGAACCAAGAGGAGGAAAGTCAGACCATGATTCCCACTCTTGTCCACAGAGAGAGAAGGGAATCAGGCATGGGGGGGCTCTGGTTATGGGGGGCTCCGGTTATGGGGACTACCAGCTCCTGTGGAGCTGCAGTGGCTGAGAAGGGACGCCTGGAGACCACAGAACACAGCACCGGCTACCCCTTTACTCTTCCCCAACCCACCCCCCCGAACATAAAAGTGACAGATGCCAAGCTTTTGCTAGAGGAAGTGGGTGTCCAAAGGGCAAGGGTGGACCAGGGCAGGTACCAAGAGGCCTCAACTCCTCAGGAACAGGCTGCGGATAGCACCTCCCAACCTGAAGTCCACCAGTAAGTCCCCACAACTACTGGAGGTCCACGTAGGGAGAGAGAAATGGCCCAACAATGTCGAGGGTCTGTAATCAACACACGACTCAGCTTGGCCTTCAGGCTGAGGCCCCCCAGCCAACAGCAGGAGTGTGAGAAGCTTCACTCAGGAGAGACCCCCAGCACGGAGGGAAAACCCAAGGAGGCCTCTGCCCACCCACCTGGCCCCACCTGCCCTTGCTGAGCCGGCCCTGTGCTCTGGCCTCAGCATCAACCCCGCTCGGGAGAGTGTGCTCTTGGCTACGTTTTTTCTTTCCTCTCCCTCCTTTGTGGCTTATCAATGATGCAAGAGGAATAACACCAATTTCCTTAGGCCGTGTAATCCCCAAATCAGATTGGGGGGATTGTGGGAGATGAGGTGACCTTGCACAGGGCTCCCGGAATGCCACCCAGTCCCACCAGCCGTTCTCCGTTCCCAGGACATATTTAGACAGATAATGCTAATTGTACCTGACATGCCCTCTTAAGGAGGGCTCGGCTCTCTGCTGGTGTTTGCTGCCTGTGCTGGGCTGGGGCAGAGGGGTGCCCACCGGGGCAGAGCCCACCCTGCCAGTATAGACTCTGGGAGGACTAAGGGTGTGGTGGGCATGCAGTGGTTGTGGAGGGCCGCCCTGCAGGCTTCTAACACCCACCTATCTGATGCAGATGGTAAGAGCTGAGGGTCTGCAGAGAGCTGGCAGGCAAATGAGATAGGGGGCAGCAGAGAGAAAGGGGGAGCAGAGGAGGCCAGCGGAGGCCCAGCGTGGAAAAGGGAGGAGTCACAGAGGAGAGGCTAGCTGGGTCAAGTGGAAGGACCCCACACCAGGCCGCAGGACCAGGCACCGGGACCTCAGGCCTCCACCAGGAGGCACCAGGTGGGCTCCGCTGGCCGAGCTCACGTCCTGGCCAGTCAGTCTGGGCCCTGGCTGGGGTGTCATCACTTTCCTGTCCATCCTCTTCTGCCTGTGCTCTCTCAAGGAGTCCCGGCCAGCCTCCCTTGGACCCCCAAAGCCCCCCAACTCCACAACTCCAGTATCTCCCTTCTACCACCTTTTTCTCCCCTCCCATCCTCCCCGGCAACTGTGCATTTATTAATTCATGAGGCACTAATTAGTTCTTTGTTTAATTTTGTGTTAAACAGACTGACCGGAATGATAACGACTTGCAGCGCTGTGTTGGCGTCCCCAACCACCCCTGTTTTCTGACAACAAGGGAGCGCAGAGACCGGAGCGCTGAACCCAAATCCCTCAGCAGTTGCACTTCATTAAGTCAAAATGTGACAAGAAGCTTAGAGAGCAACTTGCAGATCTGATCGCACAGAACAATCAGGAAACTTTCTAGGAGTTGGTTGGGGCTAGGGGAAGGGGGGAGGGGCAGAGATGCCACGTTCCAGGACCAGGATGCACTGGCCCCAGGCAGGTGGCCTGGTGGATCACAGCAAGGAGGCTGCCTCTGGGTGGATCTGGGACACTGGTGGGTGGTAGGGGGCGGCGAGGAGTCCCCAGTACTACATGTTCAATTCTCTTTTATTTGGCAGGGCTTGGAATGGAACCCAGGGCCTTGAGCACGCTAGGCACGCGCTCTACCACGAGCTGCATCCCAGCACCATTTCTCTCTCCTTGCCAAAGTATCTTCTCCTGTCTGCCCTTCTCTGTGCCTGATGCCTGTTCTGGCCCCTATGAGTAGGTGGCATACCCAAGGACTGGCAGAGTCAGGAAGTGGATGTGGTCAGGAGGGATTCTGCCAGGCCCAGGAAGAGGTAGAGCAGCTGGGAAAACCAGAGAGTGGGGGACCTCCTCTCAGGGAGGCTCAGGATAAGCAAGACCCTTCTAGGCTAGAAAGGGGAAGGAATATGCTCGAGGGTCATGGCAGAAAGTGCCCAAGGAATGCCAGCGTACCCACACCGTCAGCGGCCCACCCCTCCATCCATCCTCCTGTCCGTCTGTCCACCCAGTGTTTAATCCTAACTACTCGCATCAGACAACCAAGGACCAGAAGGTTGAGGACAGCTAACAAAGCTCATGGTGACAGCAACCTCGCGGCCCCTTCCTCCTGTCCATGGGAAAGATCTTGGCTCCAGAGGTGCCAAGCTACCAGCCCTATTGGCCCATGGTCTAGGTGAGGATGGCGGAATCAAAAGCGCACCCTGCCCCAGACCAGAGGCAGCAGCCTGACCCCAGTGTGTGACAGTGAAGAGGACAGAAACAAAAGCTGGGGACGGTGGGCCCAGTGAGCCCTCCCGCGCGAAGCACGCTCTGCCTTCTTCTTGCCGGCTGCTGCCTGTCGGTGCGGCCTGACCTCTGCCCAGCTCGCCCAGCCCACTGGCCAGGAGGGGAGTGCGCGGGGCAGCCTGCCTCATGCCTCCCCTGGCCGGTCGGCCGGAAGCTCAGTGGTCTCCCACCCGAGCCTGGCAGCCCTGGGCTGGCTTCTGTTAATTTGCTGTCAGGCGGCCTAAGCAAACCAATTAAAACTAATCATTAATTATAAAAGAGAGCGAGAAGAGTAGAGAGGAGAGGGTGAAAGACGGAGATGGAGAGGAGGAAGAGGGAAGAGCAGGGGCCTGGGAGCTCAGTGGGGCACCGGGTGGGCAGGGCCAGGAGGGGCAGAGGTGCTGGAGTCCAGGGTCCAGGAAGGATGGTGGAGAGTGAAGGGGGGCAGGGCAGGGGCCAGCGTACCAGGACCTGGAGAAGGCTCATCCCTCGCAGTCACCGGGAGCCAGTGCCTGGCCAGGCTCGGCCTCGGAGCCTCACCAGCTCCGTATGTATGAGGCTCCTCTGATTATGCAGCCCAGGCCAGGCCCCTGTCCCCATTCTCCTACCTGCTCCCAACCCTCTGGGGCCATGGAGGCTCAGGACAGCTGTCGGGCTGCCCGGCTCCCCCCAGTGCTGGCTCCTTCCCCTGCCCCCTCGGCCTCCCGTCCTCGCACACCCCCTCTCCAGGCCTGGCCCTTTCACAGGGGCTGGGGCCATGTCAGTGGCAGCTTGAGGAGGGGGGCAGACAGACAACAAGGGGCAGCGTCATGGAAACGGGCACTTTCCCGGAGAAATATTCTGTTTGGCCCCCTCCCTGCATTGAAGAGCTGTCAGGAGTCTGGGTGAGAGTCACACTGTCCCGGGACCAGGCGTGACAAAACCTATTTTCTGCCTCAAATTTGATTGATTAAAAAACTTTTTAGGAAAACCATGTTAAAAGAGGGGAAAAAGAGAGAGTGAGAGAGGGAAAGAGAGGGAGGGAGGCAGAAATAGAGGGGAAAAGAAAAGAACAGAAAGAGCGAAGGGGAGGAGGGCCGGGGAGAGAAGGCCACGCAGGGGCCAGGCAGGCCCTCCCCAGCCCGCGCAGTGCCCGCCCGCCCGGGGATGTGTGTCAGTGGGCCATCCACAGCGTGACCAGACAAGACGGAGAGGTCACAGGACGCCCGGAACCTTCACACAGTGGTTAGCAGGACAATGAGGGGCCGCGGGCTCTGCGTGGTCCAGCAGGTGCCGGGTCTGGATGGGACGGCAGTCAGAGTGAGCTGCCCAAACCCACAGAGGGCAGGGCGCCAAGACCTCCAGGCAGGGAGGCCCAGGTGGCTGTGTCTGTCCAGCACCTGGAGATGGCCTCTGGATTGGCATTGTTTCCCAGTCTTGACGGGCATTTGTCCAGAACCCTGAAAAGTCTGCACAGGGTCAAGAAGGAGGACCTAGGGATTCAGGAACAGGAAAGGGGTTTGCCAACGTGTTCTTTTAAGCCCTGGCTCCAGGTTTGTTGGTGGTATTGGCCACTGCACACAGGACCTCGCCAGTCTACCACTGGGGCCCCTTCCCCAGCCCTTCAAGAATTTTTTTTTTTTTTTTTAACAATAGTCATAAAATAAAAAGCAGAGAGGCACCCAGCTTGGCCCCTCTGTCCTGCAGCTAGGAACCTTGCTGGCCAGGTTGGCCCTGGGCGCTCTCACTCTCCCAGTCTGTCCTGGGCCTTCCCAACTCAGGCCTTCATGTCCTATTGCACGCTGTCTCAAATGATTCCCACGCATGGCCAGGGACTCTGGGGCTGATGGGAGATGCTCAAGGCTCCAGGAGAAGAGGTGCCCTCTGGCCCCTCCTGGGACCCCTCTGGAGGAGAAAATAATGCCACCATTTCCCCAGGGGGCCTATCGATCAACAGAGGTGCCTCTGGGCAGTACTGGTCTCCTTCCCAGGAAGAAGGGTCTGAGTCTGTGGCCTGGTTTGCTCCCTTTGTAGGGGCCTTCAAGGTCAAGATGAGAAGCAGTACTGGCCAAGGAGTCAGCAAGATTGTCCCATATGCTGGGAGGGGCTCAGCAGCGTTCTGACCAATCAGGGCTGAATATGGGACTGCTGGACCGGTAGGCACAGTGGCCAGACAGATGCCCAGAGAGACAGCAACTGCTCCCAGCCCTTTCCCAAGTTGACCCCAGCTCTCTCCCAGCCGGGTTCTGCGAGATCATCACATGTTTATTGAGCACATATTGTGTGCACCATGCCATGCTGGGCACAGGGAAGAAAAAGTAAGAGAGATCCGAGACAGAGCTGGTGGCAGCTGATCTGAACAATGCCTCGAAACTTACTGCCAGCTGCTGGGAGGACCCCACTGAAGATGTGCTCAGCACAATGTCTGGTATGGTAAGCACCTGCTCTCTGCTGCCAGGGTCCCCGTCTTTAAAAGCTGGGAGACATCCAACACGTCTACTCCTAGCTATAGACCCCAAGGAGGGAAAACAGGGACTCAAGAAAAATCTCGGACACAAATATTCATGGCAACACTATTGGCAATAGCCAAAAGGTGGATACAACCCAAGTGTCCATGAACTGATAAATGGATCAACATGTGGTTTATCTACACCATGGACTATCACACAGCCATAAAAAGGAACAGAGTCCTGGCTCATGCGACAACATAGGCACACCTGGAAAACAAGCTGAGCGAAAGATGCGACAGGAAAGGCCACACGCTGACTCCATTCATATGAAATATCCTAACAGAGACGAAATCCATGGAGACAGAGAGCATGTTAGTGGTTGTGGGGCTGGGGCAAGGGGAGAGTGGGAGTGTGATGGGTGCCATTTCTGTTGGGGGTGAAGAAAGAGTTCCGGAACTAGGTATCAGTGACAGGCAACTCTAGGAAATGTATTTAATGACCCTGAATTGTATACTTTAAAATAGTCACACAGGGAAATGTTCTGGCCTGTGCATTTTCTCACAATAAAAAAGAAACCACTTTTTTTGTTTGTCTGTGTGTGGTGCTGGGGATTGAACCCAGGGCCTTGTGAAGGTGAGACAAGCACTCTTCCAGCTGGGCTATGTCCCCAGTCCAAAAAATGATATAATTTTTTTTTTAAAAAAGGAAAAAAACAAATGCTGTTAGGAAGAGGACAGTGGGTGGCCCATGTGGCAGCTCAGCAGAAGGGTGAGCTAAGACAGGCAGGGCGCAAAGGTGAACACCCTCACTTCGAATGGGTCCTTTCCCTCCAGCCCCGCCTGACTGACCGAACCACTGCCCAGGTGTTCCTGGGCCTGGGCAAGATGTGCTCCTTGATGGTGGAAGGAACAGAAACCAGGAAAGGCTGGGTGTCTCCCGATGGCCCCAGGCCGGTACCCGCGACTGCAGGTCTCAAGTGCCGCCACACACAGGCAACGTGTCTTCTCGTGCGTGTGCATCCCTCGGCCTGGCTCCCCAGACAACTTGTGCAGCCGCCCAGCATCTTAGTGCAACAGGCCCCGGTGGGTCTGATGGATGACTTCCCCGCCCCCAGGGCTTCCCAAGGTCGGGCAGTCCCACCTCAAAGGGAAAGCCCAGGATAACCGGGAGCCAGGTGCTCAGGGGTCCCGGAGGCCCTCACCCCGCCCTCCTGCCTGCTCCCGAATGCGTGAGCACACAGAAACCCCTGCCTTGGCCCGGGAACTGTCAGGAGATCAACAAACAAAAGCTGCTTCTTGACAGGGAGTCATTTATATTTTAGCTTCGTTCCATTATCCTAACGAATCCTTCATCAGCAGATGCAATATTAACAGCAGAAAATCAGCTCATTACATCCGGGGGGATTTCATCAAGCCGACAATCATGTGTGCAGCTCCCCAAGCCTTCAAGAGGCCAGTGGGCTGTTATTTATTTATTTTGTTACTTATTTATTTAATTTTGGGGGCCCTTTCCACATAATTGCGCCGCATCTCAGATCTTTAATAAATAATTTGTAGGTCCTGAACTGTAGAGAGCTTAGCTCTCTGCCACGAGAGCCTGCACCAGCCAAAATATTTACCAATATTTAAAAGTCATTAGAATCAGGGGGGAAGTGGGGAGGGGTACTCAATTCTTCCGGAAACAGCCCCGTTTGGGGCTCCGGTGCTTGGCCTGCAGTCCCGTCCTCCAGTCCCTTCTCTGGTCCTGAGGGTGGCCATCCTGCCTGGGGCCCCTGCGGCGTGGCCTGCGTTGCTGGCCTCAGCTTGCTTAGTCTGGGTGGGGGTTTCCTGGAGTCCTTGATAGAGGGACAAGCCCATCTCAAGGGGCTCCCAGAGGCCGATGGAAAGGACCCACCGTGTTCAGTGTCAGGGGCCTTCCACCTGCACCAGCTGGAACACGGTGCTGATGGGCACTGCCTGCCACCCCACGCCAGGGAGCTGAGCAAGAGAAGGCTCACTGTCTCCCAGCAGGCTCTGGCTCGGCCACAGCTGAGCGTGGGGAAGAGTCCCCATCACCCGCCCAGAGTTAGGCCTCCAAGTTCAAAGGAAAGGAAGGCTGGGGAGGTGGGCTGTCTGGAAGGCAGAACTTGCCCCACTGAAAGATGGGGAAACGGAGGTCCAACCAACTTTAGTTCTCTGCCCCAGGCAGGGCGGCGAGGAAAGGACCCAGAAAAGGAATTAGATTCAGAAGTGGCCGTGCCCAGCCTCTGTGATTTCCAGTGACACAGCCCAGGCTTCCAGAGGCTCCTGGCTCCAACCCACGAGGCTGCAGTGGCCACCGGTGCTGAGGGGCACCCCCGCCGCCACCACGGGCCAGCCATGCTTTCACAGGTTTTTCCCAGCGGGGGCTGGATTTCTGCCCAGCCAGGAATGTGCTCCCAGGATGTCAATTCTAATCTCCCCAGCGCTCTGACAGAATTAAGCTCCAGTTTGTCCGACAACATCCCAAAGTTTCAGAAATCCAGGGCAGACTCTCTAATCAGGCTGCAGGACAAAGGTCTGGCCTGACCCTGTCACTTCCATTTATTCCTCCTGTCTGTCTCTGGGCCTCGGCCTTTCTGCAGCTTCCTCCAGCCTCTGCCCTGCCCTGGCCAGCACCCGCCCCCCAGCTCCCCTGTTTCTCCGCCCCGCCCCACGCTTCCCCTCCCCAAGCAGCCAGGCTAATCCTGTTGCTCCACTCCCCAAAGCCCAGGAATCCCTATGAGACTGACCTGGCTGGCCCTCAGCCTGCTGGCCGGCTTTCTCGGGCTCCCTGCCGTTGACTTACTTTGGGAGCTTGGGCTCGGCTCCTTCTCTGCTCCAGGGAGAGGATGCTCAGTCCAGAGCTACTCTCAAAGTCTGCTCACCTGGCCTTCAGCCAGCCCGAGGCTGGACTCCCCGTAACCACCCCCGAAGTGTCCCTTGTCCTCGCCCAACCTCCTTGCTGTCTGAGGGACCAGCTTGTGGGCTCTGGAAGGCCTTGGTCCTTCTGCCACTTTTGGAGACACCTATTTGGGCAGAGACCTCTCCTCAACCAACTCTGCTGCCTACCAAGAGGCAGAAGCAGCCCTGAAGCCGGGGTAGGCAGGGTCTGCACAGGACGCAGGCCTTGGCTCTGCTGGACTGTGGAGCCAGTAGGAAGGGGCGAGGAGCCCAAAGGCTGGCCAGTGGGGCCTGGAGAAGCATCTCTGTGCACCCAGCTGAGGAAGGAGGCAGAGGCTCCTCCATGCCCCACAGCACCCAGCTGCTGCCACCCGGGAGGCTCTCCTGTGAGCACAGATGCCCAAGCCTGCCCGGGTCTCCAGGGTTAGAAGGGGAGAACTGCGGAGGGCACGCAGAGGCCTGGGTGGGGACCAGGCTTCAATCTGCTTTGCTCCCATCAAAAGCCTTTGGGGGTGGAGGGCAAAGGGAGGAGGGCAGAGTCGGGAGGACTTCAGAACTGCCATGCCTGAGCCACCGCTGCCCTGTGCTGACCATGAAGCTGGATCTCTGGGGAGGGGCCCCCAGGAGGGGCAGGAAGACAAACACGAGGGTACAAAGAGGAGGCTCAAGGAGGAAGAAGGGAATAAAGATGTCATTTTGCTGGTTTGCTGACCTTCCAAAAGAGGGAAGTCTAGACTGGCCAGGATGGGGGTGGGGGGTCCTTCAGAGCTGCCCAACTGGCAGAAAGCACAGAAAGTCCTGGAATGCCACAGGTAGGCAGGGCCATGCCGCAGCTCCTCTGGCATCCCCATGTGACCAGGGCTGAGACGGCCCTGAGCACAGAGTCCCGTGGGCCCCCAGCCCTGCCCTCCGCAGCTTCCTCCGCCATATCGTGTGGAGCCAGGACCCCCTTCTCAGAGCTGCAGTGAGGGGCAGCCCCCTGGTGGTTCCTTGCCCAGTCATCCAGCCTTTCCTCCTCGCCCACGGCTGGGCCTGAGGACTGCCCTGGAGAGACCTGGCTGGGCTGGAGGTAGAGGGAGGCCGGAGGGCGTGTCTCCCTGCAAGCCCTCTCTCTGGAAGAATTAGGACTGTCCTAGTGTCTGTGCCCGATAACAGAAAAATCTAGGAAGGCCTCTGGTGGAGCAGGGGCAGAAGCCGGCCTGTCAGCACTTTCAGAAAGCCCTGCGGGTCCCACTGCACGCACCCCACCCTGCCAGCGACTCCGGGATCCTCCAAACTCCCAACTTGGCTCCTCCGCCTTTCTCCTGGCCTGTCCTTGCTTCTCTGCCGAGGTGGGGTGTTGGGGAGCTGGGGGAGCCGCTGGGCCCTTTCTCCTTTTCTTTTTTGCTATTTATCTGCAGATTGCGTGGAGCCGAGTGGTGTGAGCCTCACCCTGCTAAATAAAGCTTTGGTATTTCTGATAAAGCCATCAAATTCCTTATCGCACTGACACAAAGTGCATTTAAAGAGACAGACACCCTGTCCCTCCCTCCCCCCAGGCCCTCCCCCTCCACTCAGTTCAGATTTCCAGCAGCTCAGACACCAAACAGGGCTCCTGAGGATGTGGATGGGGGGAGGTGAGGGGAGGGAGGGGGAGAGGGGGGCTGACCCTTCCAGCTCCCACCCACCGTGGTCTGAGCTGCCGGCACCCTGAACCAGAGACTGTCCCAGGGTGTGGCATGCTGTTTCCTGACCCAACTCTGGAACCAGAAGGGAGCTATCAATAGAAATGTCCTGCACCGGGGGATGTCCTCATAAACAGAACAATCCTGTGTTGGGACAACAGCCGGCAGCTGAGGAAGAGTCCCGGGCAGCTGCGGGTAGCAGTGCAGTGAGCCCCAGGCGGTGACAGTACCCAGCAGTGCGAAGATGAGCTGAGGGGGCCACAAGGCCTGACACAGGCACACAAGGGTCTGACCCACGCTCTACGTGCTCAGCAAAGCCCTGTGAGGCAGGCGGGACTACTGCCCCACTTGACAGATGAGGACACTGAGGCTGGCAGGGGCAGGTCCCACGAGGGTTCTGGCCCAACCTGGACCACGCTCTTCTCATGAAAGACGCTCCCCCCTGTCGATCTGCAGAGCTGACCTCTAGGCCAGGCTCATGTCCACCTCCCCATTTATGATCCCACAAAGGCAGGCCTTCCTGTGTTCTAGTGTCCCCTCCCAGTTCCCTGGCCCTAGCTCCGCAACCCAGGCCCTGCGCCCACACACGGCCTGTTGGTTGAGGAATCAAATTTATTATTTTTAATTATTTTGATTTATCAAAGCAGCAGCTACAATCATATTAAACCAACTTGGCTTCTTGGCATTTAACAGATACAGCTGCCGCAGGACTCCCCAGACTCCATAAAACACCCCGCCTGTCCACCTGCTCCCTGAGAGGGCACCCCAAGCCCCTTGTCCAAGAACCCAAAATTTGAGGGCCACCGGATCCCTGCTACTGTTCCTGCCCTGCCAAAAGCACATGTAGCTAAAGTCACTGAGGGTCAGAGGGTGGTCCAGGAAAGAGCTGGGGCAGGCAAAGCCGTCGGAGCCAGGAGGAAACTGAGGCTCAGAGAAGGGAGATGACCTGCTCGAGGCACACGGGTCATAAAAACAGCAAGGCAGGACCCACACGGACTCAGTTTGCATCCAAAACCTTCTG